TTCCTTTTGTTGGATTTACACAGACAGTATGGTTCTTGTTGTCTTGAAATAGAAACTCGTCTGTCATTGGGTTTATCGTCAGTTTTAAGTTTCCTTCTTTCAATGACTCAGATATCTTAGAATAGTTTGAAAAGTTTGTTGTGTTCTTATTTAGAGCTTGCAAAATGAGTTGTCGGTTGTGTTTTATTTCTCTCATAGACGCTGTTTCTTTCGACATTTTTATTCTAGATAAAATATGCTTTCAATAGAAAAAGAAAATTCAAGAGTTGCTACAACTAAACCATTAGATGAACTTTTTACGAATGTCGGTCAAAAGTTTGAGACAGAGACCGTAAAGCATGAAGGCTATCGTTTTGACTACCCATTGAGATGGTTAAGAGACCCATCCGTCACAAAAGCTATTGGCTTTCGTAGAATGAAATTCATTTCAGAAGCCATACATGGTTTCCCATTTACGGTCGCTTTTGAAATTCGATACTATAACAAAGAAAAACGTACGTATGAGAAATTTGAACAGGGAAAAACTTTTACAAGTTAGTTTGCTTGTAAACTTAGAAACAACTCTTCAAGCTTTTCAAGAAAAAATAAACGATATCTATCTCGAATATGCAAAACAGTACAACATTGACGAAGGAGAGTACCATCTCGATATTTTATATGACAGGAAAAATGCAACTGTTAAAATCAATAGAATAGAAGACCTTGGAGAAGACGTTTATATTTCTACAAAATATAACAACTTGGCATGGTATAGATTTTTGAGGATGTTAAATCAGCCTGCAGAATATCCAGTACACCCGAACTTTTATGAAGTCGAAAACCCTAATGGAACATATGAAAATGTTTTCGACTCAGATGCTATTATAGTTCATGCTTCATTTTCTGGCGCCCAAAACTCTTTCTTATGCTTGGCAAATGACTTTTACGAAAAACCTACAAAGTTATACGAACCACCAAGTGGAAGTATTTCAGACTTTCAAGTATGGTTTACTACAGATGGAAGAAAGAGAATAATTCCATTATACCACGCGTTTTACTTAGAACTTAGTTTCATATACAACTACTATCGAACGGTAAAAATATGATTTTTTAATACGGTTGAGGTGTTGGATTTGGTTGCCAACTAGACTGTGGTGCAGGTTCAGGCTGTTGTATAACAGGAGCTTGTTCTTCTGGTTCAGGGTCTTTAGGTATAATACCAACAAGCTGACCTACCCTTTTACCAATATTTTTGACTCCGTTCCATACTCCCCTTCCTACGGTTTTTATTCCATTCCATATACCTCTTCCAACATTTCGAAAGAAGTTTCCAATACTACTGAAGAAACCCATTTTACTATATGTAAAAATCTAATGTCCGCCTAGTCTCTTACGTTTCCTGTTGAGTTCCATAGCATTCTTTAACTGGAGCTCATACATTCTATTTCTCCTCTGATAGAAAACATATTCTGGGTCAACTCCTGTGTTCGCGTCATCTGCATAGAGTTGTTTATATCCGACTTCAGGGTTTGTATAAAACTCTTTCCATCTCATATTTGCATACCATGGTGGTAAGCCTAACGCAGCGTCATTTGACATGGCAGTTTGCATTTGTACATCTGTTGGCACTTGACCATAGTTTGCCATTGCAGTTTGTATTCTAACTTCATTTGGAATATTCTCTGGGTTTGGTTGTCCAGGTTGCTGTGCATTCGCTAAGTTCTGTGCGTCCATTTAATATTAGATAAAAATATCTCTTACGAGTACATATGCTGAACATTTGCAGGCATTGGTTCATCTTCATATTCTCTATATCTTTCTGCCACGTCAAATAAGTAAATGACACAATGGAAAAAACCTAAAACAAGTAGTCCTATTTCAAACCACATTTACTTACTAGTAAAATTTCTTTGTTATGACACTTTCTCCAGTTTATAGGACCTCTCTCATATTCTATCTTATCGTATCTAAACTCATAGTCATGTATGTCCTCTAACCATCTCATGACACTTTCCAAACCACTTTTATCGGATGTAAAGTAAAAGCATGGATGGTTATGTAAAACGTCTAAAGTTTCTAAAGAGTCTCTCAAAGTCCAGTCTACTTGGTATTGAAAATCCCATGTGTTATAGAACGGTGGGTCTACTATAAAGAAAACATTTTCCTTGTTTTTATATTTTTCATACAACTCTGTCCAACGACATCTCACAAACTCTATACCCTCAGTATATTTTTCTATGTTCTCTTTGAAAACCTTTGTATAGTTAAGATATAAAACTTTTGACATAAGTGTTTCAATGTCATGAACTCTTATAGAACCACTATACAATAGTCTAGAAGATATACTATCCCAGTCAATATACTCTGCTTTTTTCAAAACCTCTCTGACAATATTTTTCTTATCTAATGGTATACGTTCCATCTTACCTATAGGTATCTTTTCTTTTAACTCTTTCAATATTTTGTTAGTGTCTGGAATATGTTTGAGACGGTCCATATAGTTGTCGAAGTCATTGCATATAATCTTTGAGTCAGGAAATATTGTATGGCACAAATGAGATATATAGAAACTTCCACCGAACAAGTCTACAAATGTTAGACCATTCGGTAGTTTCTTAAGTTCTCTCAATAGAATATCTTTACATCTACTCTTATTTCCAAAGAAGGGTAACGGTGGTTTTGTAAAATTCATTTTATATATATAATAAAAATGTTTTTTCCTGAAAAGTGACAGAAAAGTGACAAACATGAAAACTACTCGGTTAAGGTTTTTGACAGATGTTTTATTGTGACTTCTTCGTAAAGACTTTGTTGAGATTTCTTCGTAAATGAGTGTAAATGACCCAAAAATATATTTTATGTTAGAATGTTAGATCTAACATGTTTTCTAACATGTTTTCTAACATGGTCTAAAACATACAAAACTCATGAAATTTCATACGGAATTCAGCAAAAATATATTTTATGTTAGAATGTTAGATCTAACATGTTTTCTAACATGTTTTCTACCCTCTTGAATTTTCATGATTTCATCGTAAATGTTTTGTCAAGACTTCTTCGTAAAGACTTTGTTGAGATTTCTTCGTAAAGTTCTTCATCGTAAAGACTTTGTAAAGTCTTTCTCATGAACTTTCTTGTCAATGTTTTGTTGAGACTTTGTAAAGTTCTTCATCGTAAAGACTTTGTAAAGAAAGTTCATGAAAATTCATGAGGTTAGAAAAGAGGTTAGAAAAGAGGTTAGAAAAGAGGTTAGATCTAACATTCTAACATAAACATTATTTTTGTCTGATTTTACGAAGAAGTCTTGACAAAACATTTACGAAGAAGAAGTCTTGACAAAACATTTACGATGAAATCATGAGTTTTCTACGATGTTAGAAAACATGTTAGAAAACGTGTTAGATCTAACATTCTAACATAAACATTATTTTTGGGTCATTTACGCTCTTTACGAAGAAGTCTTGACAAAACATTTACGATGAAATCATGAGTTTTCTACGATGTTAGAAAACGTGTTAGAAAACATGTTAGATCTAACATTCTAACATAAAATATATTTTTGGGTCTTTTACGCTCATTACGAAGAAGTCTTGACAAAACATTTACGATGAAATCATGAGTTTTCTACGATGTTAGAAAACGTGTTAGAAAACATGTTAGATCTAACATTCTAACATAAAATATATTTTTGGGTCTTTTACGCTCATTACGAAGAAGTCTTGACAAAACATTTACGATGAAGAAGTCTTGACAAAACATTTACGAAGAAGTCTTGACAAAACATTTACGATGAAGAAGTCTTGACAAAACATTTACGATGAAGAAGTTTTGACAAAACATTTACGATGAAGAAGTCTTGACAAAACATCCTCAGGGCTAGAAGGCACGAAGTGCCTGGAAGCCCCACTACCTTTTTTTTTTTTTTTTTTTTTTTAATGCAAAAAAATATTTATCACGGGTTCAAAATTTAAAATTAAATATTTTAATAATTTACATCTTATTCTTTATTTTATATTTAACCCGTGAAAATATCATTTAAAAATTGAATATATTCAAAAAGCTTTATTTTTATTATGACTGCATGGGATCCTCATGTATATGATGAGTGGATTCCATTTAAGAAGACGAAATATCCACCAACTCCTGAAACATTGGAAACAAAGTGTGGAAAAAAATGTTTCACTACGATCGGCTATTATGAGAATGAGCCTAATCAATCAGACAAAGGAAGGCTCTTTACATACTGTGCCGAATGTAGTGAAACATTAGTTCAAGGGCAGTTCGTGTGATGCATTAAAAAAAGTAGGAAAAATGATTTTAAAGATCATAAGTGCAAATTTTTACTCACAATGCCCAACTACGTTCCTGCTGAGCACCAAGTTGAGAATACTCAGCAAGCAGTTGGCTCTGGTAATGATCCTTCGTTAGAAGAGATCATTGCCAGGCTTATTGCGAGCCTAGATATAAGCCTTTATGCCACAATGAAGCCAGCATTTAAAAGCTTCCTAGAGAGCTTCGCCAAATGGCTTAAAAATAAAGTCAATCGCGAACAGGGCATCAACTTTACAATCCCAGACATTGAGTTCACACGGCGCGGTGTCAGAGAGGCATTGATTACTTTAGGCAAAACAGACTCCTCTCGGGGCCTAAAGTTCTGCGAGGAATTCCGCATCTTCTCAATTTCCCTGGACTGCGGAACACACGGCAGCCGTCATGGTCTATTCTCTTGTGTGTGCAATCCAGGCAAAACAGATCGCCACCAATTCTTCGACACAACAATTTCGACTAATTGGACATACGAGGACTACCATACGTGGTTTGATTCTCTTAAGGTTAATAAAAACCACGTAGCTGGAGTAGTCGGAGATGGTTTGCCAGCCCAGGTTAAAGGACTCTGCCACTGGAGGCCAGAAGGAGCCCTTTTCCCTGGCTTACAAACCGTGTACATTCGTTGCCTTAACCACGTCTTGAACAATGCTATTGTCCACGCACGTAAGCAATGTCCATTGTTGAATGAACTGATGAATAGAGTTCACCAGATTATCATTATCTTTAAGAATCACGATATGAGAGCGAGATACAAGATCAGGGTTCCATCAATCCCGGAAACTCGCTGGCTCTACATATATGATACTCTGTTTTTCATCTTTGATAATCTGGAAACAATTAATACTGCTTTAAGAAGTGGAGATCTTCCACTATCCCTTTCCAGAGCTACACGTGAACAGTTACAATGGACACGTGATGGAATTCCTCCACTCTTTAAAGATGCTTTAATGATATTCAAGCCATTAAAGCAACTTCAATTATGGCTGGAATCCAACAAGTCCATGGGTGCTTATGCATTCCTGATGATACAACAGTGCCAAGGGATGTTGGATGAAATGGCAGGAAGATTAACGCCAGATGGTGAAGAGATTCTCCGATCAATCACTACAATATTCAAAAATGATATGAAAGAATATGGTAGAATTGATTTGCTTCGGTTTGCTTTCGGCTTTACACCGTTAGCAAGGAAGATCATCAGAGACAAGAAGGGTTTTGGAGGAAAGACAAGCTATCCACCTATAATGCAGTTGAAAGATGTGCAAGTCCCAACGATTCCTTCCCTGAGGATCATCAATCGCGAGATCACATTTGAGAAACTCGGCGAAATCCTTGAAGAAGAACGAACAGAACGTGTTGACGAGGTAGCCGAGCATGATGAAGAGATCCAGCAAGCAGAAGAGGAACAAATGCTTAACGACGATCATGCAGCCGAAACAAATGCCGATGGTTCGAGGAATTCCTTGGTCTGGGATGTTGTAGATGAAGAGATAAAAGATCTATACACATTCATGATAACAATCCTCAGACAAAGAGCAATTGCCGAATCAACAGTTGATCCAACGATCAATAAAGACGATAGAGCCAAGGAATTGAGTGATGCTTACGATTTCTTCATAGAGCAAGATGATTCCCATCTTATAAATGGTCATCATCTTGCTCAAAATGATGGCAAGTTTTGGTACATGAATGGCATAAAGCAACTAAAAGCAATAAGACCAATTGGAAAAAGGATGATGTCACTTTCGTGCAGTGAAGCAGATGTAGAACGTGTAATATCTGAATTGCGAAAGACAAGAAATTCAATGAACGAATCATGCAAAGAAGAATATGTAGCATGCCGCTTCTTCATCAAGTTGAATGATGATCAATTTGATATTTGATTTTGTTTTTTAATAAAATTTATTAAATAATTTGTTTTAAAAAGTATTATTTTTATTCGTAAAGATATTAGACAGAAGGTGGCCAGCCTAATGTCTATCAATCTTTAATATTAGTAGTAATTTCCCGCATTTCTGAATGATGATTGATTAGCTTTGTTGTTATTGATGTAAAACTGGATAAGTATTAAATAATTATATTAATCTTGGCCAGGGGACTGCTGATGGCCAGTCAGCAGCGGCCACTATGAATCATTATAATTATTTAATACCTAAATTGAGGTAAAAAGCAATAAGACTTGCCGAGCCTCATGCCCCTACCTCATATAAATAGAATCACACTTTAGTGAATCAACATCTATAAGAATGAAGTGTTTTGAAGCTGAAATAATATTGAATAGAAATTAATTTTTTCTGAAATTTTGAATGAAATTATGGGAAATAAAAAAATTACTAAATATTGTATTCATACAAATATATTATTTTAAAGGAAAAATAGATGCTGATAGAAACGATGAAAATTTTTGAAAACTTTACAATTAATTTATGTTCGTTAACCACAGAGCTTGCAATCCAAAGCTCACGTTAGACAACAAGAGTCATGAAGTCTCATACTAAGGGATATCCAACATATATTTTAATAATCTAATGTTTGTGACAAATATTCAACATAAAATTAAGTTTTCGTTTCGTTACAAGGCATTCATACTTTGGAGATATCATATTTAATGTACAGAAAAGTTAATATTAAACAATACATGCTAAAGAATTAATAAATAAGATAATAAAATAAATTTATACGTAATTACTTTCATTTAATATGCTTTATGCTGTATAATATTGATTAAGAGGCATTAAAAGGTTCCATAGTCTGCTTTTATAGGCAAGATTTTTGATAAAAATTTTAAATTTTGAAAAATGATGAGAAAAGGAAAAAAAGGTAAATGAGAGCAAGAGGAGGGAAAAAAAGAAAAAGAAAAGAAAGGGAAGGGAAAAATAAAAGAAAGAAGGACATATAAAAATTTAGATGCGCATTCTTAATGCCGAGGCGGCTTGCCGCCGAGGCGCGATTTTTTCAGGCCTCTACGGTAACCCGGCAATGTTTTTTTAAATCTTGTACAGCCCTAATTTAAAGTAAATAATGTTCGATAATTAACAACACAACAAAGAAAGATTTGAAAATTATGAGCAAAATTTAAAGAAGAAAGATTCAAGACTTTAAGGTACTGACTAAACATTCTTTCTTTACATATTTCTTGTAAGAGAACGAATGCATTTGATTTCCCTGATCGATCAGCTATTGAGAAGAAAATACGGTTTTCAAGGAATCATCGAAGAAATTATTTTTGGTGGAGAATGGCATTCACATTTACATTTAATCCTCATCGATACCGCCAACTTAGAATTAACGTTCCACCGTTAAAATTCACGTGTTCAGCACTTGCAAAGGACAATCTTCCAAAAGAACTTCAATATTGTTACACATTTTGTGAATATTTGTATAACTACAAAGTCGGAAAGGATGAGACATCTCAATTCCATCAACCTGTTTCCGATGAACAAGCTCCACGTTATTCTGAAGTCATTAAACAAAAAATTGATCTTTCAACAATCAAAAACAACATCTTATCAGAGAAATATTCAACGAAAGAAGAGTTTAAGAGCGATGTAGATTTAATGTGGTCTAATTGCATACTCTACAATGGCGCAGATTCCGAAATAGGAAAATTGGCTGCTCGTATTCGTACTGAATTTGATAAAGTTTGGGCTTTTCATAACGCTATCAAAGATTCAGAGCCACCACGTGAAGCCATTAAGCTTATGGAAGAAACATACGCAACATTTAGAGAAATTCGTGAAGCTCAAAAATCAACATACCTTTTCCCCGAACAAATACAAGTTAAGAGTGAGCACACAAGCACAACGAAGACAAGCAAATTGCATGCTAGTGCTCAGGTTGTTGTAGAAAACCCAACAGAAGAAGAAGCAAAGACACCAATATCTACAGACGAGAAATACGAACTTGCCAGGAATATAGACTTAATGCCAATAGAATTGCTCGGCCAAGTTATTCAAATTTTGTCAGAACATCCAAGTTTCAGACGTGACGTTCCTGTATCAATTCCATTCTCAGATATCGATAACTTAATGCTTCGTAAGATACAAAAGTACGTAAACGCTCATCAAAACCAAGAATCTCTTGTCAGAAGAATGTATCAAGATAAAGTTGCCGCAGCTGATCAACTTAACTACATTAATGCACAGCTTAAGATTATTACCGAAAAGATTAATAACAAGAATATTTCTATCGATTCTTCTTCTGCTGCTTCTGAAAATACTGATTCCGATGATGGATCTGGAAGCAACTACTCGTCCGATTCCTCAAGCTAACAATGAGGAATATTACTTGTTTACCAATTATAGAAATCTCTCATTGTTGAATATTATTTATTTTTGATTTTGTATTTTAATAAAATTTATTGATTAATTTCTTAAATTTTTGCCGAAAACATTCACATATCTTTCTTAAATACCTTTGAGATTCCAAGATTTTTCAAAAAATATCTTTAATTATTTGAAATTGCATTGCACCTTCATCATAGAATACTTGAAAAATGCTTATAACAATCAGGCATTGTAGTAAAAAGTGAATAGAGCAAATTAATTAAGTTGTAATTATTCATATTTGCTCGATTCTTGAATAATGACATCGACATTTCGGAAAAATATCAATTTTGCTACAAAGATTAATCAGTTTGAAATTTCTAATTATTGAAGGGATAAATCATCGGAATGAACAAAAAGTGCCCAAGCCGTTCAATATTAAAAATTTTTTAATGACGACACAGCAAGCAGAACCAGGTGATCACCAGCTTAGTTTCAAGTTTGTTCTTGTTGGAGATTCCGCGGTCGGCAAAACAGCAATGTGCAAAATGTTTTGTGAAAAGAAATTTAATGAAAATCAACCACAAACAATCGGTTTAGAATTTGGAACCCGCATTGTTCAAGTAGAAAATGTTAGAGTTAAACTTCAGATTTGGGATACAGCAGGACAAGAGCGTTTTTACTCAATTACTCGTGCATATTTCCGTTCATCAGCCGCTGTTTTCTTAGTTTACGATGTTACAAATCGTGATTCATTCTCTCGTTTAGGACAATGGGTTGAGGATGCAATGCAACTTTCTCCTCCTACAGCTATTAAAGTACTTGTTGGAAATAAGACAGATCTTGCCCAAAATAGAGCAGTTTCAACAGCTGAAGCTCAAGACTTTGCTACACAGCACGGACTTAAGTTCTTTGAAACATCAGCTTTATCTGGTGATTATATCGATGATGCTTTCATCAAAACAGCTCAAGATGTGTATAAACAAATTCTTGCAGGAACAATTGAACTTAATAATCCTTCAAGTGGAGCTAGATCACCGGTTAGTGGTGATAAGCCTCTTACAATCGGTCCAAATACTAATCAAAACGAAGGATGTGGCTGCTAAGATAATAAATTACTACTTTTGCTCTTTTATTAAACATATGATTATATCTTGATTTTATAACTTAAATTCATCCTCTCTTCTTCTTAAATTTACTCAAAGTTCAGTATTTTTACACTTCTGAGATATAACTCGCAAGATAATTTCAATAAATTTCTATTTCAGATCAAAAATTATTAAATTTTCATGCAAAGGATATTAAAATTAAAGAGATATGATGAATTTCATCTTGAAACAGCAGTATTTTAATTGTAATAATTTGGCGAATAGAAATATGACCAAATGCCATATTGCAAAAACGGAAAATAATTTGGAGGTAAGGCGAAAGTACTTTATTTATAAACAAATAAGTTGCTTAGATAAAATATAATTATCTAAAACATAATATCAAATGGTTCAAACAATGGTTCCGATTCAATACCGAAAATGTCAAAATTGGCCGTGTCTTCTTCAGTAACAGCATTTTTGATAGGAATTTGTTCTTTATCTTCTTCGATTTTTGGGGACTTTGAGATTGACGCCCATCTATTCTTGATATTTATTTCTGATCTGTTGGGGAAATGTTTTGAAATTTGAGACCATTTAGATCCAATAGAATTAAATAATTTCTTTAAAAGATCATCCTCTTCTCTGGTCCACGGTCCATTGATGATTCCTGGTGTGAGGTAATTCCGATATCTTTCTCGTACTTGTCGGGGACTTCTTCCATTTAAGCAACTCGCAATATGGTTCCAATCTTTGACATTCTGTAGGTTCACCATTGTCACGATGATCATGTCTTCATCTGGTGTAAACATCCTTCGGCCATTTTTGTCCGAGCGTTTCGATTGAGACGGTTTCATCGATAATAATGATTCAGGTTTCAGATGGAAAACGGTTATACAGATAATTGAGAGTTTATTAATCGTGTTTAACGTGCCCGTAGTAATGGAATCAAAAATATACTTCCATAGATATTCTCTGCCTTATCCTTTTCCTTTCAAAACTGATTATTTCTTTCCTTTTTGCTAGGGTTCAATCAGGTACTAGCACTAAAGGAATATTCTCAAAAGTTTTTGATGATAAAATAATTGTTGTTAATGCAAGTGGATCATCAAAACAATATGTAAATGGATCAAAAGCATAAGCAAAGCCAGAATATGCAATTTATCCATGGGATAAAGACTATGATTGATGTTCAAATTGTGGACGTTCTAATGATGATCATCCATGGATTGCTTTTTCATTAGACAAGAGAAAGATTAAATTTAACGGATACTTTGTTCGTGTTGGCTGCTGCTATGATGCAAATAGATGCTGCTGTGAAGATGAACATTATAATTACTGTATTGACTGCTGTTTATACAGCTGGTCCTTACAAATTTCTGATGACAATAAAGAATGGAAAGAAGTCCATAAAATCGAAAGAGATAATGAAATGCGCTATTGCAAAGAGAAAAGTTACGATTTAGACAAAACATATGAAACGAAATACGTCAGATTAATTCAAAACGAAGCTTGTCCAGGGGATCCACCTTGCATTGCTCTTAACAAGTTTGAATTGTTCGGTGATGTCATTCCAAATGGTGGAGAAGATGAAAACTTCGTTTCATATCACGACGATGACGATGATGTAAGTATTATAGGCCATATCTCTAAAAACGGAAATGTTAAGATCATATAAACCACTAATTATCAATTTAAACACTTTTTAATAAATACATATTAGATTATCGTGCATTTACCGGATAATGAATATGTATTGAAATTTTGAAGTAACTCTCTTAATAAATTGAATCCTCTTTCAACTCTCATTTTATCGGAAATGTGACAAATTTGTTGATAATTAATAATTGTAAAGATCTACACGAATAGATTATTTATTAATTCGATTAAATCCGGTAGAAAGTCATTCAAAATTTTTTTGAGACAAAAAGAAGTTTTAATATTGTCAATAAGTTAAATGCTGTTTTTCTTTGCTAATCCAACATTATCTGCTACAGAGCGAGCAATCCCATCATACTGGCTTAACAACTGGGACAAGACAAACCCAGTTATTGGTTACTGGAACACAGCTCAAAAATCTTGGACAGTAGAGCCATCAATGCATCCAGGAATCAATCATCTCAAAGCTTATGATGACTTAACACGCGACGTAATTACATCTGATTCATTTGCTGTTTCAATTGATGGACAAATTTACGGAAATGATATGCTTTTCAATAATTCTCACCTCAGTGGTTGTGTACAAGAGGTTGATGGTGAGTTATTTACTACATATGATGCATATGGAACAGACAAAATGCCAATATCAATCCGTCGCTCTTTTTATATGCCTCCACATGAAGAATTTTACTTAGTGAAATATACAATCAAGTCTACTGATGGCAATTCCCATAACATCAAGCTCCTCGATTATGTTATTTCAGGAAATGATGAAAAATGGACAAAAGGAAGGTGTTCTGGAAATAGCTGCCTTATGGATCGTAAGGAATCAAACTTAGCTTCAGTTGCTATCTCAATCGATACTAACTACAAACCATTAAAATCAGTAGGAAACAGTGATTTTAATGATGACTCAAACCCTCTCAAGTATTTCGCTGCCAACGGCGTTATCCAAAAGTTTACATCATATAACCAAGCATCAGTTTCCTTTGGAGCTGTTTACGAGTTCACAATTTCACCATCTAAGGAAACAGTTGTTACTTCGATCAGATCTTTTGGTCGTACAACTGTCGATGCTGTAAACCATCTAACAATGGCAACAGTTCTCGGTGTTGACGCAATAATCAAGATGACAAATGAAAGATACACTCAATTCCTTTCACAAGGTGTCCAAACATCACTTACAGATGATGCTCTTGATTTATACAAAAAATCAATCCTTACTCTTAAAAATTCCAAAATCCGGCGAAAGGATTAATTGCTTCATCATTACATCCAAGTTATGGCTACAAGAACTGGATGCGTGATTCCCTGATGGCCGCCTTCATGCTTGATTCAGCTGGATACCACCAGGAAGCGAAAGATTTCTTTAATTGGGTCGATAACGCTGAATTAACAAACGGTGGCTTCCATACAACATATGATACAATGACAGGTAATGTTGCTCCTTTTGTTGAGCCACAATATGATTCTGTTGGTTTGTATTTGGTCGCATTAAATTATCACTTGAAGACAATTGGTGATAAAGACTGGGTCAAGAGTAAAATGACAAGAATCCGCGAAATGGAGAATTTCATCTTCCAAAAGAACTCAAATTATCACAATTTCCCTCCATCTGACAGATCTCCATGGGAAGAGAGCACCGACCACCATACAAAAAAGCCTGTTCCACAGCAATGGTATTCTTTCGAAATGGGCTGCCTTTACGGTGGAATTAGAGCTGCCTACTCAATTGAGAAGGAATTTGGAGATACAACAAGAGCCAGCCAATGCCAGGAAAGAGCTGATGAACTAAAGAAAGGAGTTATGGAGACATTATGGGATTCAGAAACAAAAAGATTATATAGAGGTATAAGAGATAACGATCTTAAAGATCCTGATACAAAAGCTGATTCAGCATCAATGACTTGTGTTTTCTTCGGATTGTTGGATTCAGAAAACGCCTTAAGTCACTTGAATTTTATCAAATCTAAGTTGACAAAGCTCGAAAGTGGCATTGCAAGGTACGAGAATGATCCTTACTTCTACGACTCCGTTTGGAACCCATGTGGTGAAGGAACAATGGAAACACAACAGGCAGAACCAGCTTGGCCAGTCGTAACCGCTTACGTTGCTTGGTCGGAGCATTTACTCGGTATTGATTTCCAAAAGAGACTTGATTGGATGGTCAAATACGCAGCTTTCGGAAATATGCCAGTTGGTGAAGGTGTTGACTCAAAAGATGGAGCTATGATTGTTCCTTCTGCACCTGACTGCTTCGAACATGCTGGTGTTTACGTATACTCTGTTTTACTCAAGGAAGGAAAAGTCAAATCTTTAGTTTCTACATTCTAAAAAGTTTTAGAATAAATCTTATTTATATATCATATGTACAGATTTATATATGCTTGAAATGGAAAATTAATGAAGATATATCATAAAAGAAAGAGAAGCATCTGATACAGGAACATTAAATTATGCGTCATGTGAAATAAGAAGTTCAGATGTTTCTCTATTATTATTATCAGCTGCCTTATCAAGAGCAATTGTTGCATTTTTATCTTTTTAGTTGATGTTTGCACCATATGGAATAAGGAGTTCAACTATTTCTTTTCTATTTTTGTAATGCTACATAATGAAGAACTGCTTTTCATGAATATCTTTTTCGTTGATTTTTGCAGCTTGTGTAATAAGAAGTTCAACTGTTTACTTACTTTTATTATTTGTTGCATAATGAAGTGCGGTCTTTCCATATTTAGATATTTCGTTGACGTTTGGGCCATTGAAAATAAGAAGTTTAGCTATTTCTTTTCTATTATTCAATGCTGCGAGATGAAGAACTGTTTTTTCATGTATATCTTTTTCATTGATATTTGAGCCTTACGAAGTAAGAAGTTCATCCGTTTCTTTACTATTACAAACTGATGCATAATGAAGAGCAATATTGCCATATTTATCTTTTTCGTTGATATTTACTCCATGTGAAATTAGAACTATTGTTATTTCTTTATTATTTTTATTTGCAGCTGTATGAAGAATTTGAGAATCTACAAATAGAGAGAAAGTATTTATGTTTATTGTAATGGGGAATTGTAAAAAGACTTTAAAATGTTTTATTTGTTCAAATATCAAATATTTACTATAAAACAAGAATATAATTTTCTTCTTCTTCTAATGTTTTTTATAATTATTTTGTTTTTTGGCCTTTTGGATATATGTATATGGGCCTAATAATATTTGGGATAATATACTATCCCATTTTTTTTAATAATGAACTCATGTATGGTTGCCTTGTTTTGATATCACAAGGTGTGTGATATCGATTTTTATAAACTTTTATATAAGTATTGAGCGTCAACGATAAGGTCGTGTGCAAATTCGTCAACTCTCGGGTATAAATTTGAATCCCAAAATCCACAAACTTCGGAAATTTGAGATTTTGTAACGTCAATAGATGCATATGATTCATCTTCGACCATAACATAAAGGGCTGGATATTCGTCTAAATTAGGAACTTTGTTTTGACTTCCGAAAAGATCATTGAACTGTGAACGAAGCCAAAGTTTAAGACTACTCTCCGAAACTTTGAACTTGATGATGAACTCGAAAATGTTCATCTCAATTTGATGGTGGGCTCCACAAACGCTAGTTGCAGACATCAAATAAATTGTTAAGCCGCTAAGAAAAAAATTCGAACAAAAAAAAAATTAAAATTTGATAAAGTTGTATAATCATTATCTCAAGATCGAATCATGAATAAAATAAAACAATGAGCGGTCAAAACTTTTGAATGAATTTGAAGCTTTTACTGTTGGTAAAATTGTGTAGTATCGTTTTGTCAAATAAAATCATTTTTTCATCATATGTGCAGTGCTAAGCGCATTATGAAAAGTATCATATGGGACTTTGAAGGTTCTAACGAAACTATATACGAATGCAATAATAAAGGTAAACTTATTCTAAGTAAGAAAAACCCACGCACACAGAAACAGATGTCATCAGATTTAGCTAAATTCTATAACCCCTCATTGGAATCATTTACTCCTATGAATATTCCTATGCATCCTATTGATTTCCCTGTTCCTTTAATACTCCAAGAACAAAAGCAACAAGAAGTAGAACAACAATATGAACTACAATCATTTGGAGAAATTGCAGATGTTGATCTTTACAAAGACGACTTCATTCTCGATAATTCATTCGAAAATACTCTTAATGACGAAGAATTATTTTTTGAGACTTTTGATGTTATTTGAGGATTTCATATCCTTTTCCTTTTATTTCTTTTTCATTTTTACTGGGCATTGGCAATCCCATTTTTTAAAAGTGCCTTAAAAAAACTAATTTATAAAAAAACATAAGTTTTTTTAGTTTTTTAATTATCACACATACTTTTTTTCAAGCTTATTACAAAACTTGAACATGTTATTTTAGATCATGCTATATTCATTCAAAATGAAACATTTAGTCATCTATTATCAAGTAAATATTAATTAATATTTCGAAGTGTTATAGACCGAAAATAGATTTTTTCGGTTTTCTCTTCAAATAATTGAAAGAATGATACTATTATAGGTTTATTATATTATATAGCATATAATCATGCTATAGCCGAAAATTATAAGTTTTGAGAAGATTGAATATAACACAAATAAATTTGAATGTAAGTTAAATTGCTTGTTGTTTTTAATAGCTATTTAATGAGAAATCCAATATTGCAAAATTCAAATTGAATGATTGAAAGAACAGAAAAAGTCATTCTTTTCAATTTCGAATATGCTTCATTGTATTTATAATTATATGGCAAATAAGATATTTAAACTTGATTTTTGAAGGAAAATTCACAAAATTGAATAAATTCAAATAATTTTTATTCAAAAATAAACTAGTTATTTGAGTTTAATACTAATTATCTATTCAAACTACAAAGTTTGTTATTTAAAATATTTTGTGAGATCAGATTGAATTAATTCAAGGTTCTTTTCAATTAATATTAATGACCATATTACGCATTTTCGAACATTCTAAACCAAATATATAAAAATGGGAGACGAATGTTAAATTTGCTAGACATGGGGGAGTTGTCTGCAAAGTTTTAGCTCTTATCTCTAACAAAAAATTGATTTTTTAAAAAATGACCGAATACGTTTCACAGCGAGAAAAAAATAAAAGGCAAGATAGAATTTTCTAGACATAAAGAAGTTGTCTACCAAGTGTCAGCTGTTACTTCTTCTCAATACTGATATAAAATAAAAATCTTTATTATTTATTTAACCTTTATTGTTTCATTAAGGGTGCACCCGTATGTACGTTTATTTGAGAGGAGGAGGATTACCCTCTCAATTTTGAGGGATTCGTTAGTTTATTTTCTCGATGAATATGCAATAAAATTTGATTTTTACCTTATCAATATACTTCATATAATATACACATGTTCATGTAAAAACTTTTTTCCAAAATCCTCAGGAATTAAGGGATTTTTGAATTTTAAGAATTTTTTTCGAATTTTTTCGAAAAAAAAATATTTTCAGAACAGCCTTAACGGCTAAGATTTAGGAACAATGTTAAGTATCAAAAAGAAAGGAGGTCTGATATAGACAACATATATCGTTGAAGGTTGAAAAATCTCTAATATTTGAGCCCAAAATTTCAAATTTTAATTTTTTGAAAAAAGAGGCCACCCGTATGTACGTTTATTGAGAGGAGGAGGATTATATTTTTGAAAGGGTGAAACATTATGAATATGTTAATTATATAATAATATGTATTATTATAAAAAAGAAAAAATAAAGCACGTTAAAATTTTTAGTAGTAGGATATGATGGGTTGTGTGACTTTTTTTGTAAACGTAAGAATTCATACAATATCGAGCGATTTTGTATCATTTTTTAACACATTAATTTTAAAATAATTTATTTATTTATTCTTACATAAATGACCCAACAAGTAAAACCAGATAAAATAGATTATCGAATTTTAGAGGATGGTGTTCCTGTTTATATTCAAAGATTTAAAGGGAAGCAATATTATAGAATTGTTAATCCTGAATACATAAAACATTTATTTAAAAAGGAAGACTGTGAATTATTAAACGTTAATGAATATGAAACCAATAAATCAAAATTGAAATATAAATATATTGGAAGTGATGAAAGATGCAAAGATAAAGATAAAGTTTATACAGTTTCATATTATGAATGGAAAACCAATAAGATAAGAAAACATTTAGGAGATTATGGTAAAAGTTCTGAATTCTTCAAATCTAGTATGTACGAGAGAGTAAAAGAAATTAGAAATAATTATTTTCATGAATGAAAGATTCACTACCATAATGGAATCAATGGAGTCATAATCAAAGACCTCATAAACGAGAAAAAGAAATTGAAACTAATGATTATTTGAATTTATGAAATCAATTATTTGATTCATTCTTTCTTCAATCTCTTCTATTCTTTTTGTTAAATCATCAATTTTCATTAATGAGGTGATTCTTGATTGAGGAATAGATTTCAAACTAACCACTCCTTTTATTTTTGAAATTTTGAATCCATCAACTTTAAACATTTTATTCAATTTACACGTTGTCAATTCTTCAAATAATTTTTTATTATTAGCATAATAGTCATTAAATTCTTCAACAGATGAAAAAATTTTTATTTCAGTAATTGGTTTAACAACGTTTATTTTTTGTTGAACATTTCCACTTTCATTTATTTCTTCCTCCTCTGTTTCCTTAATTTTTAAAATCGGTTTCATTTATCATTAAATAAAAATTAGAATATAAGTGATGAAATATATTTTTAATTTTAATGAAATAATCAGAAATGGCGGCAGGATTCTTTAAAAAATTATGGGATGGAATTAAGAAAGCTGCTGGTTGGGTTTATAAAAAGGTTATTAAACCTGTTGCAAACTTTTTGGCACCAGTAGCGAAAACGGCAGGAACTATCATAGGTGGGGTATTAGGTACTAAAGCAGGTAATCCGGCGATGGGAGCACAAGCAGGTAACGCAATTGGTGGAATTGCTGAAGGAATACTTAATAAAATAGGAGGTAAATAGTGGAAAAATAAATATTATTTTTATCTTAGTATCGGTTGTAGTCTGTGATAAACTTTTTCTCCTTTATTTAAAATTTCTCTTATTGGGGCAGCTTTTGGTGTTATTGATTCAGCAACGTCACTAATTGCTTCTTTATTCTTAAATATCCAATTTGCTCCCTTCTTCAATGTTTCCCAAACTTTACTCGCTCCTCTTTTTACTTTATCCCACAGTTTCTTAAATATACCTGCAGCCATAGTTGATTATTTCATTAAAATTAAAAATTCATTTCCATCTTTTAATTTTGATTTTTTT